AGAAGGTGAAGACCAGGTCCCGCTGCAGCTGCTGCTGTTGTGGGTTTTTGTTGGTGGTGGTGTTGATTTGGGGGGCGGGGGTGGGTGGGGAGGAACCGTCATCAGAATAATCGGAGTTTTCTTTGCAGTGGTGATTTAAAAGCCCTCGTTTCCATCTCTTAACTGCCCACCCACATTTCTCTGCCCAGGTTGGCACCTCCGAATTCTTGGATGCAAGGCCACCCCAGAAACTGTTAAGTCAAGAAGTCTGTACTGAATCCAGGGGTAGCTTTTGTCTTGAGGATAAAAGCAGTTCTGTTTCTTCAACTGCTGGGACAGAGTCCCGACCTGACCCCAGATGGAACGGGAACTTCTGTTGCTTCCGACAGAATCACCAGTGAGCCAGAGCAAACTCCTGCCTGCTGAAACCTTCCCGGTCTGTGTCCTGCCCCCAGTCCAGCATGGTCATGTGCAGAGCGCCACGCCCAGCTGTGATGTCCCCTCCTCAGCCAGGTCGGGCTGCACCAGATGGGCACCCGACCCAGAGGCAGCCATCAGCTGCTGGCCGCTGGCCTGGAGAGAAGCCGGCAGGCCTTCTGCCCAGTAGGGGAATTGATTCCTGATGGTGACCTGCTAAACCAATCACATGCTCTCTTTTGAGAAATATTCACTTGGACAAAGAAAACAAATTCTGTGTGTCTGAGATGTGGGCTCCCCAGGTGGCCGCTGGGTCATCAGCACGGACGCTGGCCGTGTGTGGCACCCAGCTCTCCGTGGGCCGCTCTCTCTAGAAGCCCCTTCCATCTTAGCACCTGCATACTTCTCTCTTCCTGGGAGCTAAAGGCCGAACCTGGGGGCTCAGAAGACACACTGGGCATGGTCCTTACCTTGGACGTGTGTACCAGGGAGGAGCTGGGTGGGGGGACTCAGACAGAACAAAGGAAGATTGGACTCAGTAAAGAAGCTACCCTACCTTTCCCAACCAATGTTCAATCTTACTTTTGAAATATCTTCCTGGGTTGAGAATAAAACAAAAGATATTTGTTAAGTAAAAAACCTACAGCTCAACAAGAGTGCCAAACTGCCCTGTGTGTCGGAGCCTTTGCTCTGGAGAGACAGATTCTGGGCAGAGACCTAATCCCCAGCTCGTAGGGAGGACAGAGGACACCGTGGCTCCTGGATGCGCCACGCAGGGACACACACCAGAGGGGCCTTGGCAGGTGAGTGGAGCCCGCGGTCCCTTCGTCAAAGCTGTTCCTTCTACTCTGTCTGGACTTCACACCTCCCCGGGGTGGAGACAGTGAGACCACAACTGAAATACGAGGGGAACTAAACAGTTCCCTCTCAGCCTTTGAGTCTCCAAGGGCGGCCTGGTCCCCATCTTAAGAATGGAGGATGGTGTCTGACAGACGCCCTGCAGGGGCCCCACAGAGACCATTCATGGGGGGATGGAATTCAGCAGCCGCTGGAGGCTGAGGCATGTGAAGCACATGGACGCTCCTAGGCCATCCTACTTGGCGTCCTTCTCTGCATCTGGGTTCTGGAGAACAACCAGGCTTTCCACAGTGGCCTCTGCCCAGGGAAGATCTCAGTTTTCCAAGGTAATGGATGCTCCCATGGTCTGTGTGTTTAGTTAAACTTGGTTAAACGGAACTGATTAGGAGTCTGGAGACTAAGTTCTGTGACTCGTGCTAGGATCTGAAAGTCGTAATTGGAAGCATGATCTAACGTTTTATTAATGGATCTGTAATCAGTAGTAATTTTCATGTTGCTAATAGTCCCTAAGTTCTCAAATAAGTCACACCACTTCTCTTTCTGAAGCACCCAACCTCTGGTCACCCGACCACATACTTCTTTGTTTTCTCTCATAGTATCCCTGTTCCCCCAAAAGTCCAGCAGGGAAGAGGAGAAACCTGTTTACTCAGCTCCTTAAACTATGATCTGATTGGTCCCTATGGAGCAACCTTGAGAAGCATCCTGGACCCAAAAAGGAATGGACTGCAGCGCCACCTGCTGGAGATTCCCAGCTGTGCACCTTAGGTTTAAATACTAGCTCAGTTTCTTAATTGCCAGGTAAGGCAGTGGTCTCAGACTGAAATACTGGGGGCGCAAGAAGACTTTTAAAGGAAGGTTCAAAAAGTTTTAAGGACACCAACTTCCAGTTGCCCAGATTTCACGTGAACTTGCTCCTGGAGCAGATAAACCTAGGAACAGGCCAGCAGTGGAGCTGCTTGCTGTCCCTCCTGCCTTTCTGCTCTCCTACAAGACACTCAGTGCTACATAGACTGAGTGTTTGTGTTCCCCCAAAATTCATGTGTTGAGACCTAACCCCAAGGTGATGATGGTATCTGGCGGTATCTGGGCCTTTGGGAGGTCATAGGTCATGATGGAAGAGCCTCATGAGTGGGATTGGTCTCTTATCAAAGAGACCCCAGAGAGCTTTCTGCCCTGTGAGGGTACGTGCAGAAGACAGCTATGAATGAGGAAGTCTCTCTCAACAGACGCTGAATCTGCCGACACCTTGATCATGGACTTCCAGCCTCCAGAACTGGGAGAAGTAAATTTCTGTGATTTATAAAGTATCCAGTCTGTGGTATTTTGTTACAACAGCCTGAACAGACCCAGATGCTCAATGCCAGGCTTTGCTCTAAGTGCTGTACGCTTATTAACTCTTCGAAAAGCCAAAATGCTCCAAAGGGACAGTTTGAAATACCGCAGTATGCTATTAGAGACCGCGTCCTTACTCGAGGCCACCTTTGTCTGTTGCATATTTTGCTTTATTTCAAGGGGTAGGAGGTACAAAGTTCCACCTTCTGACAATTAATATATTTCCAAGTAAAAGTGCTATGTCAAGAGTAAATTTTCTTAACTTTTATTCAGATTTGCAGAAGAAACATTTTCAGTAACTTTTGTCAAATGATTATTAGGTACTGTAAATGCATATTCACTTTTTACTTGGACCCAAGCTTTCTCTTTTCTCTTATTTATTACCAGCACATACCCACAAAATTTTAGTAAACCTGTATGTGCTATGGATTCTACTCTCACTTTTTTCGCTGTTTTTCACCAAATCCTGTTTCTCATTACAGCAATAACCTCATTTATAGATACCTGAACTATTATTTTAAAGCCTAATAGACATGAGTAAAGGATAGCCTTCCAATATATTACTCTAAATAGCTAAAAATTCTTTACCAAAATGTATAATATATATAGGTGGTTTTTATCGATCATGTACTAATAATTGTAATGAGAATTTAACCCAGAAGAAAATAATTAACATTTAGAACTTTATGGTTACAGGAAAGTATACTAATTTAAAATTTTACACATATTTTGTTGCAGAGAAGCATGTTGGACCATCAATAAAAGACTATCAAGTATAAACATGTTACAATTTGACAAAATCCTACGAGGGATACAGATGGAAATAGGTTTTCGAAGGAAAAACAAACCATGTAAAAATTTAGGTAATTTTATTTTAAAATATTTACGGGAGTTGAGAAACTACATCCCTTGCAACTGTTAAACCTGTTATTAAAACAACCAAGAATGCGAGAGGTCTAAGAGTTTTGCCAAATTTTGGGGGGAACACACCAACGGAGGGTAAGTAGTAGCCGCTAATAAGTAAATGGTGGCCTACTTTCTTCATATATTCCTAGGATTATTGGACTTAAATACTAAAATATTTCCTTAGTAACGTGCTGCTGAAGGCTTTGAGAACGAAATGCCAAAGCTAAAATGGAAACGTGCACTCCTCAGGGGCCCGCGGGGATGGGGACTTTCGCCGGGAGGTCGGAGGCCCCCCCGCCCCAAGCCTGAGGGTTCGGAGCGGGTGTAGGCGTCCCCACTTCGGGCCATCTTTTGGACCTCGCGCGGGCGGAACAGGGAGGGGAGGTACCCAACCTGCTCGCGCACCAGAACCGCGGCCTCCCTCGTCCGCGCCCCGCCCAGTGGAGGGGCGGGGCGACGCTGTCTTCAGCAAGGCCTGGGATTGGTGGGCGGTGCGGCGGCGGGGGCGGGGCGACGCTAGCTCT